CAGTATATAAATTTTCTTAGAACGAGACTGTGAACAACTCTTGTCTTTTCATTAAACTGCAAGGACATATTTTTTTTGTTAAATTTATTTGTGACATAGATTTGCGAACAGAACAACATCACAATTGCTGATGGCAATTTGATCTTTGCCGGCTCTGTGAACAAACATCACAAAATGGGCGGAGCAATGGTTTAGACCAGATTGGCCAACCTGACAAACAGCAGGTCCAACTGACAGAAAAGTATCATACACTTCTAAATTGATTCTCTCACACTCTGTAAACACTTGCATCTTAGCGACTTTATTTCCTTGCTTGGGGTGATATGATTAAAAAACTAATCAATATTTTTGATTCTCACAAGTGGTGAGGCCTAAGGAAGGTCTACAGAATACTAATTAAAAAAAAATATTTAAAAAAAAAAATCCCCTATTTTTCATATGTGGACCAGTTTATTTAACTCGTGCCATGTTAGAACATTAGCATTCCAACCTTAAGACCTGGGTTCAAATCTCACCATGGTCAATTTGTCAAGGAATTGACTTCTTGTTAATATCAGCCTGGGGAGATGATCCCAGTGGATGGTGGCATCAGCAAGTGCCTGAAATCCATGCCACAGATTGACCCAAGCTTTGTGAGTGAAGTCAGGCAGATGGAAATGCTTAAAAGTTGCCGATGATTGTGCAAGCAAAAAGTCACAAATAAATTGTGCAAGCAAAAAGTCACAAATAATTTGTTCAAACTGTTAATCATACCAAATTATGCACCATTTCCCAGAAACTGTAACTAAGGTCTGCTCAGCATAGTTGCAATATAACCCACAAGTTGTTTCTGAGGGTGTTGAACAAACAGAAATGTGCCTGAGCAGGCGTCTGCAACAGGGATTAGTTAGCTACTCTACCAGACAGGCATACTTGGAAAAGAGAAGCTTGTTATTATATAACCTCAAACTGTTGGTACTTACCTCGATAAACCTGTTCACCAAATTTCAGGTCCAATTCTCGCTTGATTTTACGCATTTCCTGAGAGAAAAAAAAAATAATTGCCAGAAAGAATTATTTCAGAACAAAAGGTCATGGAGATGGTTTAGGAAGAGTAATCATAAAACCAAACTAAAAGCCTGCTTGAAATGTGTTGTGACCTAGGGAAGGTTACTAAATAGAATAATCAAAGGTTGGTAAGGATAATACTTAGGACAAGAACAACACATATAAGATTCGCCAGCGGTGCAGAAAAGTAATAGTCAACTGCTAGAAGTGAGTCAAATGAATTCTGCAATGAATCTCCAACTGCAGGATATCTACCAACTGACCCAAGCAGTCAGATGTGGCACAAGGCCGAATTTAATGTGGGGTATTCAAGCCCATAGGCTTGGCCGAAAATTCCCCATAAACTCTGTAAAAAACGCGGTCGAGTAGCTGTTTCTTGAGATGAGACTCTGCCCTTCGACATTGCCTCATCTGGGGATTCTCTCTACCCAGAGGTAGAGAGTTTGACCAGCACAGCTGGAGACGAATCTCCAACTGCAGACCAACATACAGTATTTACTACTGTATTTATGTGAATGGGGCATACTTATCGACCATAGGTATGCTACAACAAAATGTAAACAAAGGTTCACTTTAACATAGATAAGACATAAATGACAGGTTGGTTCTATGGGTGTTGAATAAATACAAATGTAGCCTGAGCAAGTGTCTGTAACAGGGATTGGCTAGACACTGTAGAAGAGAGGCCTGCTTAGAAGTTGCTAAATGTACACGTGTAAATGCATTTAAGTACGAAAGCATAGTTTATTTTAATGTGCTATTTCTAACAATAGAATGGCTTTCAAATGAGCAATATGAAAGCTATTGATATTTCTATTAACAAACCCGAGGATGGATGTCACTTTTGACCAAAATGAAAGACTTCTTAGCCATTTTGCTTCTTATTGCACTCCCAGAATTCCACAAGGAGTAAGAAAAGTTAAAGCATGTTAAATTGTTAATGTATTTGTTTTTTTTTTATTCTGTGTTTCAATTTTTTTGTTTTCAACATCAAAACATGCATGTAAAACACAATGAATTACATCAAATTATTACTCATCCATTCTTTTGTTACTATACAAAAAATAAAAATCTATACGCACAATACAAAGAAAGTTATAACAATTTTAAAACAGTAAGTGCTCATGTTTTTTTGCAGCCTCAAAAAAAAAAAAAAAATGCCACGGCAGGGGAAACAATTCTAGAAAGAATTTAATGGGGTAAAGGTTAAATTTACAAGGGAGAGATAAATTTATTTCTCAGTTTGTTTTACCCGCATACCAGGTTCTTGATAGATAAAAAAAAAAAAAAAGTTTAATGGAGAAGAAAGTCTTTTCCAATAAGGGAAAACGTCTCCACTCTATTTATTTTCCAGCTTATATTCCATTTTAGATTTAACTTGATCATAATATTGGAACCAATGATGAAACATCAGATTCCTTTAAAGTGATAGTGAAAGTAATGAGGATGAGATTACATTTGATCATAATATTGGATCCAATGATGAAGCATTAGATTCCTTTAAAGTGATAGTGAAAGTAATGAGGATGAGATTACCTTTGATCATAATATTGGATCCAAAGATGAAATGACTGATTTGTTTCCAAGTGATAGTAAAAGGATATCATTTCCTTTGTTCATATTATTGGAACCAATGTAATTAAAGGTGGTTATGTAGGTGACATTTGGGACAACTTCTGCTACTGTCATGATTGCCTAACAGGCCAGCTTTAACCCTTTAACCAGTGAGAATTCTGACTCTTTCATACCACCCTATTGATGTCTTACAAATTACCCTCAAAGGCTTGAAACTACTCTCTAATAGGGAAACATCCAAACTCACTGTCAGGTAGCCTGTAACCTGCCAACAGACTGTATCAGAACTCGCTCAACAGACATCCTGAAACTATTCTCATTCTAACTTTGACTGCTTATATAATCCTGTGAGCATCACATCCTAACTTCCAACTAAGCAGTACCCCTGAAAGTTTTTATAAATCTATTTTTTTCCTTTTGGTCAAGTGGGTGGCTACTTTGAAGATCCTACTTCATAGATTTTACTGCTGGCCAAAACTCAAAATATTTAATACTCAGATAAAATCATTTTACAATGAACTTCTATGTGGGTGTTCTGTTCCCATTATGTAGGGGATCTGCAGTGTCATTACATTTAAATAAAAGAAAATAAGATAGTGAAATTAACGCACTGAAAATGAATTGTACTTACTCTGTCCATCGTAAAGACTTCGATATCAATATGTGCCGCTAGCAGTATAGTGCCACCTGGGGTTTCATAAACACCTGAGGGTTAAAAAAAAAAGATGTTAGAATGTATTTCTTCATTCATGTGCCAAGTTTCTTCATGACATGGGCAAGCTTCACAACTTCATATCTTTTGCTTCGATTTCTTCCTGCTTCTTGTCTTCAGTATGTACTTACAGGGATACAGAATGTGATTACCTCCTTTTAGTGGAGATAAATTTTGTGGGTCATGTGACGGCCGTTTAGTGATGTCACTTCATACAGTGACAAGTGTGGCCAGTCATTCAGTTGGTTTAAAGTAACCAAACTGAGAGGTTGCTTTCTTTAGTCTGGGCAGGGGCTAAATCTGCCACCCCCAGCAGCTGACAAATCCATATTGTCATTTCCTTTTGGGAATATATCTTTCCCGGATATAGAAAGAAACTCCAACTTGCAGTCCTCAGTTTGGGAAAATCCCTTCATGGAATATGTCCTCATATAGAACATCATTAATGAATCCAGCCTGTTTGAATCTGGAGTTCTCAACATGGCTTCTCTAGAAACACAGAAGAATCTCCATATTATATGTAAGACTCTTTCTTTTTGTTTCTTGTTATACTGTGCTTTCTGTGTAGATATGATATATTGTTCTCTAAGAACAAAGCATGTTTGTCATTCCTTTTCTTATCAGCCATTCTGTCCCAGTGTTATTATTCATGGATATAATAATGCCCATAATAGGGGAAATTAAATGAGAGAATAAACCTTTCTACCATAGCTTTCTCTTATTATATACTTTTTTTTTTATATAAATGTTCATCCAATACAAGACCCAAGAGAAACTTGTGGTTTTCATAAACATTCGGCGATGATGGAAAATGGTGCAGACTTCACTTGTTAGACCATATTCCTTATTTAATCTGCCAGGTACATTTAGAACATGGTCAGTAATGGCTCTCCATAACTTCTTAACTATTGACTCTTTATCCACTCTCTTTCTCCATATCTACAATCCATTCACTCAGACACATCAAGCAGGTTACATGCTGCTTTTTTTTAATCACTTCACCCCAAGCAAGGCAATAAAGCCACTAATACACAAGAGGTTCCTGAGTGTTAGAGAATATGAGAGAGAAAAAAGAAAGAACATGAATCAAAACAGAAGATAATGATTGGTATTGCATCTAAATTTTTGAACATCAATCTTGACTGAGAAACAAGAAATCAGAAGAGAGTTCCATAAGCAAGAAGTGCAAGAGAATAAACTGTTAGCATAAAACTTACTGTTATATTTAACCATTTCAAGTGTAAAATGATGAGACCTTACTGCCAATCTAGTACTGTGCTTATATTCATAAAGACTTGGTACCATAGAGGAAAATTCATCAGAACAACTACCATGAAAGTATTTATAGAAAATGAACAGGGAAGCTATCTTATGGTGGTAGGAAAGTGACTGAAGCCAGGATGCCAGGTTAGGACCAATAACATTGCAAAATCTTCTTTGGATTTTACCAAGAATCTCTCAATATGGAGCAGGAGCATGTTTTCCCATGCTCCTTTTGCATTTAGTATATGCATTTTTTTAATAATTTTTCATCCAATGCAATCCTCAAGAGCAACTCAAGGTAGAGCAATACTGAATGAGATTGTTCTGTAAGCACAAGAAGAGTATATTATGAGGAGATGTAGGAATGATAACTCTTGGGAATCTATTCCACAAGCTAATAGTTCTGGGGAAGAAGATTGGAACTTCCTCCTTATCAATGGAATACTAAGAGAATGTGGAGGAGTTGACCCTATGTACGTGGCATGGTAGATCTTAGTTGTGAATGCCTGAAAGTTGAGAGTTACTGAATGAGGTTGTAAGGATGTAAATGAAAGTAAGAAGTATACTATATGCCGTGAGTAGTATAGTGCAACCTGGTGGTCTTGGGATGAGGAGTTATTATTTAAATTCAGAATGTTGGCCATATAAAATGGCATTTTGACAAGCCTCTGATGAATAAATGGTGATATAGTGCCAAACAAAGATTTTTAAGTAGATTATCACTATTTTTGATCTCATTTTCAAGGTTCTGGTACTGAATGTGGTTTTATGGCACATTGACTCCTATATAATGGTCATGTAGTTCTAAAGAAGGACTTTATGTAGAGTATCAACTTTTTTAAAGACTAAATTTATTCAGCAGTCAAGATTAGGTTTAAGGGTCTGAGTTTACTCCAGGACAATGGACTAATTGGCAAAAGTGTTGGTTTGTGAATTTGGTGACATAGTGATTGTGAGTTCAATCTCTGGTACAAGCAGTGTATACTTGCACTCAGTGACAACAGGTGAGCAATAAGTGAACAGTACTAAATAAAAAATAAGACATGAGAACAGTTTACCCTCTTAGATTAAATAAAGGGGTCAGTTTGGAATTTTCTGTAGGTTAACCAGATCTATATACACCTGAGGACAGCTGAAGGGCGCATCATATAAAACATTGTGACAAAAACAACCAAGATGAGGATAACAGTCTGAAACTAAATAGTGTAAATAAATTTAATCAGTTATTGCAAGGCCACAGAGATGGATATTTCAGAGGGTGTATGATGGGTGCTATTTCTTCCCCAAGTAAAAACCTATTTACTTATGAAATGCTAAAATAAACAAAAGGAAAAAGAAAATTGTTCATATTTACCCCGAGATTTCATTCCAATGAAACGATTTTCAACCAAATCTATTCGGCCAATTCCATGTTTGCCTCTGTCGATCAGAAAAACATAAAAATTACATCAAATGTTATGTATAATCTAAAATATTTACCACGTATATTCGAGGATAGGTTGACTTTTTTCACTAAAATTTCGATAAAAACCAGGGGTGCAACTTATCTACTTGGTGTCAGAGAAAATCTGAAAGTACCCTGGGCTCAAGCATAAGTGAGAGCAAGGAAGAAAATTAATTTTTCCCAACATTTCAATTTTACACAATTGCCTCTTCCAACAGTACTGCATCACACATTGAATAAAATTGTTCGATCTGCACTGCTCATATTTACCATTATCTGATTTACGATGAAAGCCTATCAATTTCAAGAGATTTTAGAAAGGAAGTGATCAGCAGTATTAAAATTTTCATCTAAACTGAGTAACCCTACACTCAATAAGTAAATCCCAAGCAATTACAACCAATCACTTTTCCTGTGTTTTACAATAATTTATGAAAGCAAATTTTTCAAATAAAGGTGAATATTTGAAAATATTTAACAAATATTAGTTATATTTATGTTAAAAAGGGCCATGTAACACCTCAGATTATAGTGTGACCTATTGGTGAGTCAACTGCAAATACCCACTTTGTCAACCCCAAACTAAGAATGCTACCTATCTACTGGTGCAACTTGTATACAAGTATATATGGAAGATAAAATCAATTTGTCAAAAATATTAAAAATTATATTCAAAACTGTTGTAAACTGGAATTAAAATGAAAAACTATCGCTGTCTTACATAAGAGTTTTTAATTGTGACTAAAAAATATGGATGGTCAGTGTCCAAATAGCTGAGATTGCAGGAAATATGGTATAATGGTCTTCAGAGGCAGATACATTATTTGCATACCTGTTGAAACATAGCCAATGTGTCTATATTAGGTTGGTTAATTTAATGATATATCAACCACTGTTGGCTTATATAAAAAATATAGCTCTGATATGACATAAAATACAGTGATTAAATAAAGGGAGATGTGGGTTTGGTTTTACATTAGTGTCAAAAAGGTAGACAAGGGTTGGGTTTTATACTTGAATTGGTATGGGAGATAGGTTCTGGTTTTATACTTGTATCAAAAAGATAGATATGGTCTCCAGTTTTATACTTGAGTCAAAAGGTAGACATAGGTTCAGTTTTATACTCGAGTCACAAAATGATAGACAAGGGTCAGATTTTATATTCAAGTCAAAAAGGTAGACGTGTTTGGTTTTACAATAGCGTCAAAAAAAAATTGAGATGGGTTTAATTTTATACATGAGTCAGAAAGGTAGACATGAGTTTGTTGACATATAATAACCCATTGAGGTTGATATACCATAAAACAAAATAAAGTAAACTCTTGACAAAACCCTCTTTACAAACATATGTCAGTGAAACCTGATCTCCAAACTGATTTCTCACAATTGTTATAATCTTCCTAAACCAGATCTTCTTTTGATTCATGTTACACAAATTTCCACCACTGGCTGGATGTGAATGCTCCGAAACCCAAGGTCAAACTAAAAATTCCATCAAACATGCATTGGCTCCACACATCTTCTGCTTTCCTCACCACTAAAACAAAACTTACAATCCAATTTATTATCCAATAGCACCCACTCCCACCTAAAGAAGTGAAATAGGAATTAGAGCCAATCTGAGCCTATGAAAGCACATAAAAGCACATCAAAGAGACATCTTTGGCGGTTGGTCGGCACAACAGCCAAGGTTCACACACTCGTCAAAATACCACCTCCACACCCAAAGACAACTGGCCACCCATCTCCAAGGACAACTCGCCAGAGCCTGTTGCCGCAGTAAGTCACGACTCACCCTCCCTCTCATACAGTAAGCCTCTACGGATGGCTTTACTTATCCCTTTCCTTCAACGAGAGACTTTCACACCACTTCACCATTCGTTGTATTTTTCATTAATACAATGATTTATTTTTTAAACCTCTTAAATTTCTTTTTGTTTCTGCTATCATACACTTAATATAACACAAAGAATACATATTCTATTCATACAAACCGATCCTAAAAATCTTGTCAGCATTAAATAACCCATTAAGGTGTTGATATGCCGTAAAACAAAATAAACCAAACCTGATCTACAAACTGATTTCTTACAAAGAATACATATTCTATTCATACGAACCTATCCTAAAAATCTTGTTGGCATTAAATAACCCATTGAGGTATTGATATGCTGTAAAACAAAATAAACCAAACCTGATCTACAAACTGATTTCTTACAAAGAATACATATTCTATTCATACGAACCTATCCTAAAAATCTTGTCGGCATTAAATAACCCATTGAGGTATTGATATGCTGTAAAACAAAATAAACCAAACCTGATCTACAAATGGATTTCTTACAAAGAATACATATTCTATTCATACGAACCTATCCTAAAAATCTTGTCAGTATTAAATAACCCATTGAGGTGTTGATATGCTGTAAAATAAAAAAAAAAAAAACCTTTTCTACCACCCAGTAAGAGCAAAATTTTTTGCTCAGTGTAGTTTTCATTTGACTTTATGACATATTTTACTCAACTTCATTTTATTTTTCTTTTGCAATTTGATATATTGGCAATTAATATTATTGATAGGGCCCCAGACTAACTTTTCCCTATCATATTTGTCCATACAAGAAGTACTCAACATTTGTAGGAGCCACAAGGTTTCAATTAACTACATGAAACTTATGGGTGAACTACAGGGGAAAAGCGACAGAGAAATCACTGCAATAATGCACAGATCTGAAAATATAGTTAATTGCTGTAAATGTGGACTTACCCATCAAAATGGGAAAAGTCCTGCTCGAGGCAGCATTTGCTCAGCTTGTGGACAGAAGAACCACTGGGCTAAGATGTGCCACAACAGAAAGATTTAAGGTACGGAAAGTGCTCCAAGAGATTATTTTTTATTTTCGAGGTTCATAATTAAAATATCGATCAATAAAGTTAATAACTTTACTTACCCAACTTCATTAAGGTAGAGAAAAAGCTCCAAGGGTTTGGTTTTGACGACTCCATCATCTAAGTTCTTAACACAAGCAGGTAAACCTGAATTGCCCAAAGAAAACAGGTAGGAATGAATAAAAGGAAAAACAAAAAGAAAATTCCACAGTCTGTTCAGATACTTGTAAAATCTACATTATTCAAATAGTATGCATTTATGAAACATGCATGATGGGAAATCTTATAAGCTAACTTGTGAAAGGCAAAAGAATATTTTAACTCGGAATAAAATCATAGCTCTTAAGTAAAACATGAGAAATGAATTACAGTTTCATGTGGCTCCTATAAACGTCAGTGTTCCAGAAAATACATTTTCTGCAAGATTAAACACCAAAATTGTTTTTAAATATGGAATCTGAAAACTGCTACTCCCAGATGTAGGTGTTGAGGGCATTATGTCAGTGGTATAGGCATAATATCTCAGATGTAGGTGTTGAGGACATAGGAACTCATCTGTAAGTGTTGAGGACATAGGATCTTATCTGTAAGTGTTGAGGGCATAGGATCTCATCTGTAAGTGTTGAGGACATAGGATCTTATCTGTAAGTGTTGAGGGTATAGGATCTCATCTGTAAGAGTTGAGGGCATAAGATCTCAGATTTTTGGGTTGTGGGGCACAAAGCTGAATTAAATTAGTTTGCTATTTTTGAGCAAGAGGAATTCATATGTAACGGATATTTTTACAGTCAGTACAAAATAACGGTTAAATTAGTATTTTAGAGTGAAACAGAACTGTGCATTTATTAATTACATCTTTTTTTTATAAAAAATAAAAAATTTTCCCATTTTTTAAAAAAAGAATTATTGATTCAAAACTTTGTTACAAAAAAACGTGTCCTGCATCAGTTAAAGTGAGATGCATTCTTCAGCATAAAAAGGCCACATTTTGTGACACGGTTGGCAAACCTGCTCAGAGGCTAAGAATTTTCTTTACCTTTCATGACCAAACAATGTATCATGTTAAACAAAGTTTAAAAATAGTTAAAAAAAAGCAAAAAAAAGCAAAAATGTTTAGATGAAATAACAAATGAAGTTACATGCCTTTCTTGAAGGTGATTTCAAGTTTAGTTGGCGTGTCTGGGGCCTTTTCAGGGTCCGTGGTCATATTGTAAATACCATCAGGGGCCTGTGTCCATGGATTTTCCAGAATGCCACTCTCATAGCTGAAAAACACAGAAAGACTTTAAATAAAAAATCAAAATATAAACAATTTTCTTTAATGACGGCAGTAGAGCGTTTCATTTATTATAATACATTAAAGGGAGTTACCTCCCTTTTGATTTGAAATCAAGTAAAATTGATATGCTCTACTGTCAAATTTACAGCAGAGATAAAGTGACAAAAAAGAAAAAAAAAAGAAGTCTAGTGCCATACGTCATATATAGGCTTGGATGATCATGTCTTTCATAACTGAGTAGGCAGAATATTTTCCCTCAGTAGGTTGCCATTTCTCTCTGCGAGACACTTGTTGCCAACCAAGGTTATAGGACCCATTCTGTCCTGTTCTTCAAATCATAGCCGACGGAAGAAGAGATAAAGCCAGTAAAGTGCCATCACGTGATACACACTTGGGCGATCATGTCTCTTTTCATTCATGACTGACTAGGCAGAAGATTTTCCCGCAGTAGGTTGCCAACCAAGGCTATAGGAACCATTCTGTCCTGTTATTCAAATCATAGCTGACGGAAGAAGAGATAAAGCCAGTAAAGTGCCATCACGTGATACACACTTGGGCGATAATGTCTCTTTTGATTCATGACTGACTAGGCAGAAGATTTTCCCGTAGTAGGTTGCCAACCAAGGCTATAGGAACCATTCTGTCCTGTTATTCAAATCATAGACGACGGAAGAAGAGATAAAGCCAGTAAAGTACCATCACGTGATACACACTTGGGCGATCATGTCTCTTTTGATTCATGACTGACTAGGCAGAAGATTTTTCTGCAGTAGGTTGCCATTTCTTTCTGCGGTAGACTTGTTGCCAACCAAGGCTATAGGACCCATTCTGTCCTGTTATTCAAATCATAGCCGAGGGAAGAAGAGATAAAGCCAGTAAAGTGCCATCACGTGATACACACTTGGGCGATCATGTCTCTTTTCATTCATGACTGACTAGGCAGAAGATTTTCCCGCAGTAGGTTGCCAACCAAGGCTATAGGAACCATTCTGTCCTGTTATTCAAATCATAGCCGACGGAAGAAGAGATAAAGCCAGTAAAGTGCCATCACGTGATACACACTTGGGCGATAATGTCTCTTTTGATTCATGACTGACTAGGCAGAAGATTTTCCCGTAGTAGGTTGCCAACCAAGGCTATAGGAACCATTCTGTCCTGTTATTCAAATCATAGCCGACGGAAGAAGAGATAAAGCCAGTAAAGTGCCATCTCGTGATACACACTTGGGCGATCATGTCTCTTTTGATTCATGACTGACTAGGCAGAAGATTTTTCTGCAGTAGGTTGCCATTTCTTTCTGCGGTAGACTTGTTGCCAACCAAGGCTATAGGATGCATTCTGTCCTGTTATTCAAATCAAAACTTACAATAGTGCCCAACGTATTTATGAGGATTGACACATACCCATTAATATTCATAGCTACGGTATATAATGCTAAGTAATATCCCAATTCAGTAACTGGTAATTATGCTACTATAAGTTCTACCGTATACATGCAAAAGGTTTACCTGATATGCATCAGATTGGCGTCCATGCTCCAAGGATCTTTCTTGGTTGTAGGAACAGGAATTCCTTGTTGCTGAAAGGAAAAAAAAGAGATGGATGAGAAAGAAGAAGTTATTGTCACCTATCCTTCCATAGCCAGATATAGTTCAAGTAATGTAAAAGGAATATGCCACCGCCATTACCAGAAAAGCCACAAGAAAGCTAAGATTTTTTAGAAAGAATACACATATGAAAGTAAATTGATGAATCATTAGAACTGAAAAATTCTTGCAATCTAAAAATTTCACAAAGAATATTAATGGAAGACATTTCCGAATACAGCTGAGAGTTATGGCTCCAATCATGTCTGTTTCTGAAAGAATGTTAATTGAAGACATTTTTGAATTTTGCTGAGAGTTATGGCTCCAATCTGGTTTCTGTTTCTCAAAGAATATTAATGGAAGACATTTCTAAATATTACTGAGATTCATGGTTCCAATATAAAAGAAAATTCTTTCAGAAAAAGAGATATGACTGGAGCCAAAACTCTCAGCAACATTCAGAAACATACTAATATTTGTTCAGAAACAGAGACATGATTGGAGCCATGATTCAGCAATATTCAGAAAGGTCATACATTAATATTTTTTTAGAAACCGAAATATGAATAGAACCATAACTTCCAGTAATATTCTGATATGTCTCGGAAAGGGATATATTTGTTTGAAGTAGCAAAGTAGTTGTTGACTACTGTAACCGGGTAGGAGATAATCGTAATGGACTTGTTCTCGTTGTAGTGGTAGGCAATAGGCAAAGACAATAGGTGTCACCCCATGTACCTCCATATCAGTCTGTATTTATGGCTGACACCAGCCAATCATATTATTGTGAGGGGGGAATCCAGATGTATGCATATTCATTACATCATATTCTTTGCGAAATAGACATCATTGAATCCATGACTTTCAGTAATATTCAGGAACGTCTTCCATTAATATTCTATTAGAAACAAAGTTATGATTGGAGCCATGACCCTCAGCAATATTAAGTTTTGCATTAATATTCTTTCAGAAAAAGATGATTGGAGCCATGACTGTCAACAATATTCAGAAATTTCTTACATTAATATTTTTTCAGAAACAGAGATATGATTGGAGCCATGATTTCATCAACATTCACAAAAATCTTCTGTTAGAAAAAGAGATAGATGTTGAGCCAATATTCTCCACAATAATCTGAACAACTATCCATTAATCGTCTTTTAAAAGCAGAAATATGATTGGAGCATTGATTCCTAGTAATATTTGGAAATGTTATACATTATTATTCTTTTCAAAACAGAAATATGATTGGAGCCATGAATCTCACCAATATTAAAAATGTCTTCCATTACTCTTCTATTAAAAAGAGTTTTATGATTGGAGCCATGATTTTCAGCAATATTCAGCAAAGAACTTCCAACTGGAAGTAATTTAGAAATGATGAGTAAAAGAAAAATCTGACTAACCTTTGCATACTCCATTAAATCATCTCGTCCTTTGAATCGGTTGTAAAATTCTGGCAACCTCCAAGGGGAGATAATCTGAAAAAATAAAAAACAAAATTTTAACCCAATAATCAAGCAACAGAAAACAGCAGGTTTGGTTGTTTTTGTTTAGTGGATAATCAACTCATATACCAAAATCTAAATATGAAAATTCAAACTATTATAATTACTTCAAATGAATGAACTTATTTCATGATTAAATTATACTTACTTAGCTGCATTTCTTTTTTTACCAAATAATATAAAATTAAACGAGGAGTGAAGATTTCTTTATGACAAATGGGATTAATAATAGATTTAAAAAAATTCACAATGTATGCTATTTTACTATAAATATGTATTGTTGGTAATTTTACTATAAAAATGTATTACTGGTCATTTTTCAATAAAAGGTTTTATTGGTAACTAGCAGTAGAGCCCGGCATTGCCTGAGGATGTAACAGTAAGAGATAGATCAAGTATCGACCATTATAAAGACTGAAAAATAAAATTGACAAAGATTATTATCCGTTTATATTTTGTTTGTAATATAGAATTGATTGCCCACTTATATCCACTTTATAATTTCTTGTTTATCAAAGATTACCATTTTATTTCCAACCTCCGTTTTAGTTATTTCTCATTCAGTAACTTTTTCTTGGTTACAGCATATTATATATGTATTAACTACAAGTAATTCTATTTGCTTTTGAAGTGTACAACAAAAGACAAGTTTCACACAATTGATATGCAAATTCAATCTGTAGTTGTTTTTCTAAGCTTGCTTTAGGAAATACCCATTACTTATAGAAATTTGTAGTGTAACATTTTCATATTACAAGTGAATGGGTACATTTGAATGCATTTAAAAGTATTAATGTTAAAGAAAGTTGGTTCAGGCTAGACAATTTTTCTCTCCAGAATCTATCTTACATATCTATAAGTCTACCATTCGTCCATGCTTTGAATCTTGCTGTCATATATAGTCAGGTGATCTTGCCATATATTTAGAGATTCTTGATAAAATCCAAAGAAGAATCTGCAATGTTATTAATCCTGATCTGGCATCTCCACTTCAGTCACTTTCACACTACTATAAAGTTGCTTCCCTGTGCCTTTCTATAAATACTTTCATGGTAATTGTTTCGATAAACATTTTACTATAGTACTTAGACTTTATGAATTTAAGTATAGTACTAAATTGGTAGTAGGGTCTTATCAATTCACTGTTGAAATGGCTAGATGTAACCATAAGTCCTATGCTAACAGTTTCTTTTCTCGCACTTCTCCCTTGTTGAAATCTATTCCAACTCCATGCTTCCCTTCTTGATCTTCAAAAATTTAAATGCCATGTCAATCGTTATCCATTTTCTTGATGACTCTTCGGTTGTCCTTGCTCCTTAATAATATTCCTTTTTTTTCTTCTTATTCTTTCACACTCAGTGTGTCTTAGTGTCTTTACTGCCTTGCATGGGGTGAAATGATTAAAAAAAAATTCCATGGTGATTTCAAAGCACAAACGCTGATCATAATAGGTGTTTCTATTATTTTCCGTACAGTAAACATTCGGTACACAATGACCAAACAGCATTAATATTGGCTGAAATTTATAAAAACTTTTTTTTTAAACAGCTTTTCAGGAAAATAAGATTCTCAGATCCAGTGTTATCACTCTTTCCAGTATTAATGTCTGTTTCCTTCCTAACCTTGTGTTTGAAGTCATGTGGAAAATCAACATCTTGATTATGTCATTATTTTCTTTTTGAATTACATGTAAATTCTATTTTAGTTGTTGCTGCTGTTGGAAGTTTTCAAATCTTTGTTATTTGGTAAAGTCCTATTTATGATTGTGTAGTACCAGTTTGCAAGGTGTGTTGAACAATTGTCCAAATGGCTCCATTTGCTAGAAGCCATTTTTAATCATTGATCTGATAAAATCATTTTATATAGATGATAGTTTAGACATTAGAATGAGTTGGATGCTAACTGTGACATTCATACAAGGGTCTACATTTGACAAGGCTATTTAAGAACATGGTTTGAGTTCTTAGGATAATGTTTTGGTTTTTGTCGTGTCCTGTGGTGTTGGATAAAAAAAAGGCAGGTTAGGTTCTTGGTTGCTAATTTTAAATGGCTGTATATTTTAGGGACAGACCTTGTATCCCATTGCTGCTTTTGATTTGATTGATTTATTGTCTACAGTTTATCAACCTTTTTGCATGTTATTTAAAGCCAGAAAATACTTTTAAATTTTAAGAATTTTTTTTGAGATAATAATTATTTAGTGACACAAGTCTTACTAATTAATCCATAGTGGGGAGGGGATTCATAACTAATTAGAATTTGATAAACAAACAAGAAATTATAAAGTGGGGGATCAATTCTATGTCACAATCAATATATAAATTAATCTGATATTTTGTGGCCACGTTAGTTTCTCTACATTTATATTCCAGAGAATGTAATTAAATCTAAAAGACATATCTGTATAGGTGAATAGTATTTCATTGATTGATAGATTTGTTTTTTATTTAAAGCAAGAAAATATTTTTAGACAATTTTTAACAATTTTCGGGGAGAGATAATAATGATTTAGTGATACAAGTTTTACTAATTAACCCATAGCTGGGGGGAAAGAAACAGATCTATACCTAATCAGACTTTGATAAACAAGAAATTATAAAGTGGATATAAGTGGGCAATCAATTCTATATTACAAACAAAATATAAACGGATCCCTCACTTTTAGGCCATCATAGTTTCTATGCATTTATATTCCAGAGAATGTAAATAAATCTGAGATGTGTCTGTGTCGCTGATCAGTATTTCATAGATTAATGGATTCATTTTTTATGGCTTATCGACCCTTTGCTGGTTATTTAAATCAAGAAAATATTTTTAGATTGTGAGAATTTTTCTTTTTTTTTTGAGATAATAATGGTTTAGTGATACTAGTCTTACTAATTAACCCATAGCTATGGAGGAAAGAGAGGAGGTGGATTCATACCTTTCCCATGGGTATTTGCACACAAGTGAACATAATGATTGGCATTTCCAATTCCAAGCCATTATCTCCATTACACCACCTTCACATTCAAGCTTACAGCACCTGGTATTTCCAAGTGGTCACCCATCTAAGTACTGATCAGGCTTGACATTGCTTAACTTGTTGTGAAGAATAAAGCAAACTGTTATAAAGTCACAGAGCCACATGTCCAAATAGTTGCAAGTCCACTTTTCCTGCAGTTGGCTTTCTTGCTCACCTCTTGTCCATTACCATTGACATTATATGCATTCCAAATTAGGTACCCTAATCTATAAGCAGCACCTCCAGTTTATTCCATGAACCCATAGGCAGCACATCTGGGCTAATCAACCATTTTCAGTTATAAATGATGGAATGAACCTGACCTGGTTTTACTTTGTATCATGGAGCCAATGGCATCAGCAGGCTCATGCCTTCAACCTTTTTGAAGGTAAGTGGCTCTCTTCTGCACACACATATTTGCATTAACTGCACCTAATTCTACATAAATTAAAAAGTTTGCTTTAAAAGAAATGACAGCTTCACACATAATAAAATGTGTATTACAGAAAACGTGTTTCAGATGATTAATATGCAAAGTCAGATGTAAACATGTAACCTGAGAATGTTTTCCTGAGCTTGCAAAGTACAATTGAATATTTCCGTTATTTATAGAAGGTTGTAGTGTAGCATTTTGATATGTATGAATGAGTATTTTTGAAGAGATTTAAAAATGTTTTGGTTGCTTTTGTCTCATGGCATATAAACACCTCTATGATTTATTTAATGCAGAAATGTAAATATTTTGTAGACAATATTATTTTTTTTTCATTTTGGAGATAATAATGGTTTTAGTGATATAAGTTCAACTAATTAACCTATAGCTGGGGAGAGAAGAGATGGATTCATACCTTTCCACAAGGGTATTTGAGTGTAAGTGAATATAACAAACCTAACTGGAATTGGAAGTCTGCTCTCTGAGCAATCATTACCCATCCATATCTAAGCTTATGGCACCCAGTAATCCCAGACTTTCACCCATCTAGGTAGTGACCAGGCTCAAAGCTGCTTAACTTCAGTGACTGTACAGGAACCAGTGTTTCAATGTGATGTGGCTGTAATCCTTAGAAGTTATGATGGTAAATAGTCATCTGAGACTTTGAACAATGTAATAAACTTTTTAAAATGTTTTATGATTGTACATGTAATTTCTAGCAGATACACATGCCTGAGTAGACCCCTGTTCTTATTTTTTTTCAAATAGTATGAATTATATCTACTGGCTTGTGCATTTGAGAAACTAAAAAAAAAAAAACATGCTCTCTGGCAGTGTTTGAAACTGTGTCCTTCTTTATAGGGGAAACAACCATCTGATTTGGCATGCTTTTGACAGCTTGACAACAAAGGATCATCAGCAAGGTTCAATTATACTTTTTTAAAGAATGCACATCTTCTCCGGCATTCTTTTGACTGCTCGACAACAAAGGATCATCAGCAAGGTTCAATTATCCTTTTTGAAACCGTCCTGGGTATGACGATAAACTACACCCGAGTCCAGGGTAAGATGATAAACTATGTCCAACAGCAAGGCCTCTGATCAGGAGGCTTTGAGGAGCATGGAATCACCTCTTAATTGCTGGTGTTCCTAGGTCCACCCTGACCTGGGGTGGTAGCACTTGTTAAGATCCCAGTTATGGGCAAATAGTTAACCCCGAGACTGAGGTAAAAAGCATTATAAAAGTGCAAAAATAGGTTTTAATACCAGATATAATTTGTAAAACATTATTACCAGAAATAAATTTTTGAATGAAAAAAAACAAAAACAAAAAAAACAAAACAATTACCAGCAATACGTTTTTGAAAAAAAAATTACCAGTAATACATTTTTTAAAATAATATTACCAGCTATATATTTTTGAGGAAAAAAATATTACCAGAAATAGATTTGACAAAACAAAAATATTACCAAAAAAAAAAGTTGTCGGCATTAAATAGCCCATTGAGGTTGATATACTGTAAAACGAAATCAACCAACCAAACCTTTTTGAAAAAATGTATATTTTTTCTGGCATTCTTTTGACCACTCAACAACAAAGGATCATCTGCAAGGTTCAATTATCTTTTTTTAAAGAATGCACATCTTCTCCGGCATTCTTTTAACTGCTTGACAACAAAAGATCATCGGCAAGGTTCAATTATCCATTTTTAAAGAATGTACATTTTCTCCGGCATTCTTTTAGCTGCTTGACAACAAAAGATCATCGGCAAGGTTCAATTATCCATTTTTAAAGAATGTACATTTTCTCCGGCATTCTTTTAGCTGCTTGACAACAAAAGATCATCGGCAAGGTTCAATTATCCATTTTTAAAGAATGTACATTTTCTCCGGCATTCTTTTAGCTGCTTGACAACAAAAGATCATCGGCAAGGTTCAATTATCCATTTTTAAAGAATGTACATTTTCTCCGGCATTCTTTTGACCACTCGATAACAAAGGATCATCAGCAAAGTTTAATTATCCCTTTTTAAAGAATGCACATATTCTCCGGCATTCTTTTAACTGCTTGACAACAAAAGATCATCAGCAAGGTTCAATTATCCTTTTTTAAAGAATGCACATATTCTCTGGCATTCTTTTGACCGCTCGGCAACAAAGATCATCAGTAAAATCCAATTACCCTTCTTACATCATCATTCAACCATAGTCATTATCATTGAACCAATATGAATGATTGATTCATTCTTTAAGCTGTATAGTAAGTGTACATCTTCTCCAGCATGGGCTACATACAATTTTGAATTCAGAGGGACTTTCTGCTAGATTGGTTGCCACGCAAGGCAGTCTGTCCTGTTATTTATCCATAGCTGGAAGGAGAAGAAGATTCATACCTTTCCCAAGGGTATTAGCACGTAAGTGAAATGTAATGGATCCAACTGGAATTCGAACCCAGCTCTCTGATTCCTCAATCAGGGCCACTAATCATTACTCCACCGTGCCTCCATACACATCTTCTCATTCAGATCTTTTCAAAAGCCTATACCTGCTGGCTTTATTTTTGTATCTGAAACATAAACAAAGTAATTTCAAAGGAATTAATGGATTTTATTTTTAATCTGACATGATTTCTTATTATAGCAATAAAGAATAATTTTTTATTTCTTATTTGCTGACGAGATAAATCTTTCCAGGCCATAATCGAAAAAAAATTGTACTAACCTCAACTTTTGGGTAAAGAGCATATGAAGTCAATTCAAAACGAATTTGGTCATTCCCTTTGCCTGTGGCCCCATGAGAGACGAACTGGGCACCTTCTTCTTTGGCCACCTCAACCATTGCACTGAGAAAGGAGGAAATAAAATGACAGGGGGTTATGTAAATTGAAGGCTTTGCAAAAAAACATGCAGATGAAAAAGCCAGAAGAATAGGAGTGGGGAGAGCCGATAAAAATAAGGGGAGGAAAGAGCTGTCAAAAGGGCAGGGAGAAAAAAGTGAGGGGTGTAGGGTGGAAATAGTCGGAAGGTGCGCAGGGTGGAAAGAACAGAAAATGGGGAAAAAATTCAAGGGAAAACAAAAGCAGAAAAAATTAAAATTAAAAAAAATACAGAATTGCCACTATTTTTTTTCTCTCACCTGGCAATACAGGGTCGTGCCAAAGATGTGCCTAACAGGTACCGGTCTTCATAACAACCATTGGCTTGAACTGCAGGCCAAATATAATCCTCTACAAATGATTTCCTCAAATCTGGGATGACAATCTGCAAAAAACAAACAAACATTGATCAAGAGTCAGTAATACATGACAACTCATACTAATGTCTTCTCCAAGACACATCAATAAGACATATCAATGATATGTCTTCTCCAAGACACATCAATAAGAGATATCAATGATAGGTCTTCTCCAAGACACATCAATAAGAGATATCAATGATATGTCTTCTCCAAGACATATCAATGATATAAGATTTTGAATTGCACATTAACTCCTCTATAATGGTCATGTATATGGTTTACTCTCATGATTCACACAAAATAAAATCATTTATGAAAAAACAAAAAAAAAAACAAAAAGAAGTACAAACAAGAGACAGACATGTGTTCCTTTGGTTCAGTTAAAGACATTTGAGAAGGGTTGAGTTTTGGTCTTTTGAGAAGCTGGATAGACATTTCAGGGAATTGCTACATACATTGAAACTTTGATGTTGATGTATTCAGAAATGTCAAAACTGTCATCTCTATTCAACTGTTTTCTCATTGGTTAATAATGACGCCAGGTGAACAAATCCTTTAGATCTTAAAAGCAATCCTTCATCAAACCCGATCAATCTATGCTACCAAATCACAAAGCCTTACAAAATTATGCTGTAATTATGTGCCTTAACATCTTTACCATTTGTGGGAAGTTGGTAAGACACTCTCCTGTCTTTGGGTGGCTTCATACAACAATTGGAGTAAAGAAGGGGTGAGCAACTGCAATAACACCAAGTATGGGATGACACAGTGAACGACATCCCTCTCAAGCAGATGATGGCTAAAGTAATCATAAAAGTGCACCAAAATAATTCCACCCAAGGTGACTGGTATATAACCGGAGAAGAAGTTAACACATGGGTTAATGCAAGCTCCCTGGAGACAGGTGTGGTGTTGGAAAGATGTGGTGCTGTTCTGGAGGAGGCATGCTGACTTCGTTCAACAAACAATGCTCAGTATATTATTCTGGCAGAACTTGATGCCACGCTAAGGGGTATTAACCTTGCACTATGTACAATGGCAATCTAAGGTGATGCACCTATATACAGACTCAGTATGTGTTCACTCCAAACTGACCTGTTGACTGACAGGCAAATCCTGAGTAAGAACTAAAGCCTTGACCAAGATGTTAATATGCTGAAGGTTGGAAATGCAGCAACAGACTAGGTTCAGGATGGTCATATATTAGACACATCAAGCTTGATACATTGTAAAGAGTATTATTGGCAAACTAAAAGGTGTCCACAGTACCAAACAGAGTAAATACATCTCCAATAGTCTCAACATGGATTTATTACAAGACAATCAGCAACCATATCTTTTATTATCATATCTATCTATATCTATAATTATCAAAATCTATGTGTGTGTGTGTGTGTGTATATACATACATACATACATACATACATACATACATGTGTGTGTGTGTGAGCAGATGATGTTTATACATTTCCAGTTTTCATCCAATTTTCAATGATTTTCTTTTGTTTGATAGATAATTCTTCAGTGTCAGTTTTGAGTCCAAATTGTTGACAATAATGGCTCTCCACTACTTCTTGTCCATTATAACTCCCAGCAATGTTTTACTATTTATTATCTCTTCTTGGATATGAGATCTTTCATAAAAACTTTAATAAAAATAAATAGTTTAAATTATTACAATAATATTATTTATTATTATATAGCTCCATTTTCAGGGCCACCCCCTTCAAATTGTTAACCCTCCATTTGGGGATGTGCCTCAGTTGCACCTAATTGTTGTTACTAATAGTGATTTTCAGGTGGGCTGACTTAAAACTTAAACTGCTCCAATTGAACAACAAAAATTCTCAGTAATGAAAGACCTGGTCAAAGATGGGTTATACTGCTAGTTTTTACTAAATGTTCACCCAATATGAGCTTCAAGAGCCACTCAAAGTAGAGTGTTACTAAATGACATCGTTGTATAGACATAAGAGGAGAAAGCAGGTGCAGATTAGGAAGATACAAGGTCTGTCTGAAAAGTAATGGGACTGGGTTTCTTTCTTCTTTGATGTGAGAGGGATTATCCAGAGTTCATGCCACAGGGCCAGACGATCAATCAGCAAGTCTACAAAGAGGTCATGTGGTGTTTGCTTCTCTCAGTGCACTAGAAGAGATGAGAGTTGTGGCAGGACAAATCATGGCTGCTTCACCATGACAATACACCTGCTCACAATGCCCTGAGCATCTGGCAGTTCCTGGTCAAGAACACCATCATACCTGAATAACCTCCCTATTCATCTGATCTTGCTTCATGAGACCATATTTACATTATTCAGACTACTGTTCTCATCTTTGTCGCCATATTTATTACAGCGTTTCAGCTGTTGTACGCTCCGGCCTTCTTCAGGTGGTTGGAATGTCGAACTGAACCCTTTATTTTGCTCACTGGGGTAGACTGTTCTAGTTTCACATGCCATGTTTAATGGATGTCAGTTATCTCCTGTTAATTTCCCTCTGAAAGTTCTCCACTGCCTTAACCAGGTATTGAATTCACACTCTTTTGGGTCCTGTCACTGAATCTAACCAACACCTTTATCCACTGTGCCATGTGTCCCAAAAGAGTGTGAGTTTAATACCTGGTTAAGGCGGTGGAGAACTTTCAGAGGGAAATTAACAGGAGATAACTGATATCCATTAAATATGGCATGTGGAACTAGAACAGTCTACCCCAGTGAGCAAAATAAAGGGTTCAGTTCGACATTCCAACCACCTGAAGAAGGCTGGAGCATACAACGGCCAAAACATTGTAATAAATATGGCAACAAAGATGAGGACAATAGTCTGAATAATGTAAATAATGTACATAATACCTCATCTCAGAAATATAGACAGATATTTATGAGACCTGTTTTAAAAGTGTGGAGGCCATCAAGACGACTGTAATGATGGAGCTAAGGGGGCATTCATGAAGAATCCTTCCAGCAGTGTAGAGAAGCATGGCAGAAAAGAATGGAAAAGGGCATCAGATTTGAGGAGGGTTACTTTGAAGGGGAAACCATGTAGTTGGTTATTTGGAATTGAAATAAATTGTGACAGCAGTCCTTTAACTTTTCAGACAAACCTTGTATGTAGAGGAAGGAAAACCTTGCTTTTAAACCTCTGTGGCCATATTCAAACACAGAAAAGACTATGAAAATAGATCCAGACAGATAACACAAAATGGGGGCCTGAAGGCATTTTGTTGTCAACACTAACAGCTTTCCAGCAATTCCAAATGTAATGCCTGGGATTTACCTTGACTCCTCACTGAGCCAGGTTGTGACGCAAGGTCGTTTTTTAATGTGGGGACATGAGTGTTTCCATGCTGGTCTTAGCTGGTCATACCACTGCTACAGAAGAGATTTCATGCAATGGGAGGGGGGGTGCAAGGAAGGAGAGAAGGCCACTGGCACAGAACAGATATTACAACTGCGATATCTATTCCAACAGGGGGAAAAACCCTTCTCCTCCTCTGCCAATCCTTCCAAAAGAATCCAGGAGAAGAGTAAATCAAATACTACTCAAATCCTCCTCTAATGTGGCTACTTGCTATATTAATAAGGAGAAGCAGTCCATTGTCACTGTAGTAGGGAAGAGAAAGTAGTACACAGAGTCCTACTCTATCACAGTTAGAATACTTGTACCCCTTAGATGTTTGCAGATGGAATACTGAACAGTGCCAAGTACACCCAGAATATGGTTCAACCTGTTCTGCTACCATTTTTGCATCAGGAATGTGTTGTGCTGTTATAACAGAATGTCATCCACATGATATCCATACTATTCTGTATGCAAGATGTTGGAGTATTTTGTGTGTTTCCTTATGGTGAATACTAAATAGTATTTTAGCAATATTTATATACAATAAAAATTAAACAGAGACCTTGTTGGTTGAATTTAATAATACTTTAGGTATTGTTTACATCCAATAAAAATATTTAGGTATCATCTATGTCCAATAAAAAAAATTGGCATTTTTTAAATCATATAAAAATGTGGGATTATCTATATCCAGGGCTGGATTTAGGCCTTAAAAGACCATAGAGATAATAGTTTGGGGGCCTCTTCATTATGAGTGCTTGCTCTAATCTTTGTGTCTATAAAAAAATATATATATATATATTTTTACATGATGCTTTTTTGGTGTAAAACATGAAACATTTTGACTAAAATTTTTAACGATTTTGGAACTCGTCCAATTTATTTTATTAGCAACTTCATGATTTTTTTTTTATCCAAAATTTACATCCTACAGAAATCTATCTAGAATGAAGGGCCTGTATTGTACTGAAATTTATTAGCAAAGGGGCCTAAATAATCTAAATTGTTTCAAATTAGTTTGAAGGAACCCTATTAAATCTGAAAATAAACAGACCTTCTCTGTTCTTATATCTTTATTTTTTTTTTGTTTTATCAGGCTCCCAAGGGTCCTTCTAGTTTTGGGGCACATAGGCTGCAGCCCATACTAGCCCATCTGGTTAGTAAATCTGGAACTGCCCAACTGACATTTTCCTCAAGCACCCTAACTACAGAGCCGGATTTAGGCCTGCAGAGTTCCCTGGACTAATAGAATTTGAACCCCCCTGCTGATGGCTAATAGAATTTGGAAACCCCCTCCTGGGCTAATAGAATTTGAGGGCTCTGTGTCTATGAAAAAAAAAGATATTTAATGCTTTATGGCATAAAACAATTAATGATTTTGAAACTCATTCAATTTAATTCATTAGCATCTTCATGATAGATTTTTATTTGAACCTTACATCCTAAAGAAATGTATCTAAAATCAAGGGCTTGCATTACACTGAAATTTTAGCATTCAAATTCACTAAAAACCAAGATGTTGGAGAAGGAAAATTCTGACTTGCTATAGACTTGTGATCCTAGATCACTACAGCTGAAAAAAATGTAATTATATTTATTGGTAAAATTGTCAATTTCAAATATCCTGTGGTGGGGGTTGAGGCTTCTATACCTTTTCAACTTCAAAATTATAATAATCAAC